CATAATCGCTTTGAAATTTAGAGGAGGGAAGTATGCTTATATTAAATGTAAACCTTGTCTTTTTATAAACACACAGTTATTCGAAAGATGCCAGTTCTTTTCTGGTATTCTATTTCAAACAATTGGATTATAAGTAACACGAAAGCAAGCTTCAGCTTTGATATTTGTCATAATTTCTATCATGGAAGTATTTTTTTCAAAATGAGATTTTATATCAGTCAGTAAATCTGAATGAAACAATCTAGTGAAGTGATATCTGAATTAAAGTCTCATATTCCAAGAAAGACAACTGTATTTGTGGTTAGAACTATAGATAGTAGATAGAATTATGTTGGTGTGGTTTTTGGTAAGTTACTTGTCACTAGTATTAGTAGAAGGTGTAGTTTTAGTAGTTTTATTTTCCTCCAATGGTTCGCCATGGGTCAATAATGCTTGTGAACTACTATTACTACCATAACTTGATGCTTCAGTACTACTGCCATGTACCTCACTATCTACAGCTAGTGGATGATATTTAGTTTCCTGACCACTTTTATAGACCAATACACTTCTTCTTTCTTCATAAACCGCTAAAATAACAGAGGACATGTTTCAAGGGAGATAACTTACCATTTAAATGGTGAAAAAATACAGAAAGAAAAAGAGACAAATATAATATTGCATTTTTGCCCAATGAAAACTTCTAGTATTCTGATCATGAATAATACAAAATATTTCAATCTTAATTTACTATATAATAACGGTCAAGCCGATTTCTCAAATTTTGTATAACTAGACAATGGCAAATCCCTCCAGCATTTATAATATCTAAAGACAACGACAGCCTAGCTGAGCAAATATATTTAGGTAGATCTGATCTACAGACGGATACCAATTGAATAACAAATACCTTTATCTTCATCATCATCTTCTTCATAGTCTGGTTCAGGTTCAGCTTCAGATGTATCTTCTTGTTCATCATCGGCTATATTACCAGTAGACAATCCACAAGATAATTGTGATGCACTACCAACTTCACTTTCAGCCAACTTATACAACTTAATAACTTCCTCTCTATCACTAGTACCATTTGGTTTTGTTGGTGGCTCAGGACTTGTGGATCTCTACAATTATTAGATTCAGAAGTTAACTTAGACCTTTAATTGGATTAACAAAAGATGGACACAGAATCCTTAATGGGCTTTCCACCAGAGTCAAGCATTGGATTTCTATATAAGATAAAAGTGTTTTCATACAAACAGGATGATGAATCTGTGAAAAAATTTATTCATATGAATAAATACAAACACATGAAATATGTGTAGGATAAACCATACCTCCCGGACTGATATCTGATCTACACTTTCATCAGATGGATAATCTTCTTCAGGTTCACTAGTAATATCAACATCATCATCATCATCTTCTTTATCACTTCCTGTACTTACTGAATACCTAGTAATAGTATTATTGTTTTTTACATTTTTTTTTAAGGTATAGTTATTCTACAGAATATATCTAAATACTATAAAATATGATTTAATATTGTCAAGGTATGATGTACCTAATCATACAATAATCAAAGTATGCTACTTTAAAGATCAATGATAACAAAATGACAAGGAACAGAATAGTAGTATTCTTTCCTTCTTATCGATGGATGGCGTTGGATAAAAATAATCGTGATGTATCGGCATGATTATTTCTTAGCCCCCTTTAATAACAAATGACACAGAATTATTGTGTGTATAAGAAATTGTGTCATGTTTTCATTTTCACATCAAAATTTGCAAAATTCATTTCTGACTTAAAAAATTGAAATCTTTCACAATTCCTTACTTCTAAATGTTCTCAAGTGCTTAATAGTGATAAACTTGTTAATAATTTTACAAATTTCTACTATTCTTTCTCTAATAAATGAATTGCGATAGTTATCGCAATAAATCCTATCGTTGGATGAGTATCGTACAGTGTATCGAATCGCAACTTCAAGAATCGTTGCAGCCCTACAGAATAGCATCAGATGTTCACAATGTCAAGTTATTACAAACTTCGTACTTATACCGTGAACGTAATAGCCACTATTCTTGTATTTGATTGAGTTGTGTCCCAGCGAATACAGCCAATCTGATCCCTCAACAGGAAGACTATAAACATTACGGCTTTGTATTCACAAACTTTCTGTTCAGGCCTCAGATTGGCTGTATTTGCTAGTGTACAATCCATTCCAATCGCTTCATTTACAAACAATTGATACAAGAAAGGTGACTATTGCAGTCAAGGTATAAGTACGAAGTTCATAATAGCTAGATGTTCCAGATGAGATAGTTGCTCTGTCTTAGCTAGTGAGATTATGTGTGAATCATTAGTTATATGTTGTAATTTTGAAAAAATTCTCACTTAAATTTAGGTAGAGCTGGACGTCTAGGTAAGGAATCACTAGATTTATCAGGTGAAGGTAAATCATGACTCAGATCTACTTCCTGTACTCTTCTCTCATCCTCACCTTCACCCGAGGAAGACTTATCTTTATCTAATTTAGCATCTTCTAATTGATCAGCTGTCATTTCTTTTTGATATTCTATTGGTGTTGTAGCAAGGACTCTGATAAATGAAAAGAACACAAAATCAGCAATAAAAAACTTCTTTTATCAATAATTGTGTTGTGGCGAGGAATACAATCTGAGATGAGTTATTACCAAAATAGAACTTAGTGCTGGGTAAGTATCTTATTAAACCACTGTTATTGTGCCAATTATAAAATGTGAGATGAGGCTTACTCTGATTTTTTCTGCCCTTTCTTGCTATCTGAAGTAAATATTGTGTTACAGGTGGAAATTGTAGTTGGTATACCTAAAATAAAAAAGAATAATTTTGAACACCAACCTTGGCTATCAATGGTACTAATAGTATCTCCCTGCTTTATGTACAAAACAAGTTATCATGTACTGTTCTAATGTGTGTTCAGATCTAAGTACATTGAAATAACTAGAGCCACTCGTGGCACAGAGTGGGACTTTGCAAATGTAGCAAATTGCAAAAGACCCCGAAAAAATCATCCTTCCACGATAATTAGATCAAGCGCAAGAACGGTCTAAAGTTGGGAAATTTTCATTTTTTAGAGGATTCTAATACTGGAAGTAGACGTCAGACCTCACAAATGAAAGTATCAGCAGATAGCCAAGGTCAATGACCTTTGATCTTGTAAAAGAGAAGGTCTAAAAAGGTCAAGATCAAGAGATATACGTCATCAAAATTTCTAATAGCACACGACTATAAAACTGGAAGTTGACATAGGACAGCAAATATGAAAGTACAAATAGATAGCCAATGACCTTGATCCTACAAAGGTCAAGGTCAACAAAGGTCAAGGTCAAAAATTGAAAATTTTGAATTTCCAAAACCTGTTCCTTTTTTTGAACTAAGAAGCGGAAACAACCGAAATTCTAAGACAAAGTGGCTCAATATATGAGGTAATTGTATGCAAAGTTCCATTTTGAACAAATGTATACTTTGCGAGTTATGCCCCTGGCCAAAAATGTCAATAATGAGTAATTTAACCCGGATGTGCCACGCCCACTTCAATTTTTTTTGCATAGGTTAATTGATATTCAGAATGTTACGTTATGTTCGAAATGTCAAGCTCCTACATAATACAGGTCGAAAGATATAGGTCAACAAAGGTCAAAATCGAAAAATGAAAATATCCAAATGTTAAAACACGTTCCTCTTTTGGAACTATAAAGCTGAAACAACTGAGCTGTTAACACAAACTGGCCAAAAGGATGAGGTAATTGTGTGCAAAGTCCCTTTTTGAACAAACGCATTCTATCAAGGTTCTACATAAAATAGGTCATAAGATATACATACACCAAGATCAAAATGACACAAATATGGTAAAACAAAACTCAAATTTGTAAAAATCATGAAAAGCACATTTGGAAACCGAAAAAATTAACCCTTTAAGTTAATTAGGTCACGTGCTAGAGCTGTCCAAAGTTGCGAATTTGGCTTTTTACGGATAGCTATAAAACCGGAAGTACATGTCGGAGGTCAAAGTATCAAATGATAGGCAAGGTCAATGACCTTTGACCCTATGAAGGTCAAGGTCATCAAAGGTCAAGGTCGCATGGTGTGATCGTTTAAAACATGAAAAAATTTCAATCGGAAGTTGCAAAAAAGCAAAAGCGAAATTCAAAATTCGGCTCCCAATGTTTTTTGCGCAATCGATTGCGGAATACATTCACATCAAATTTGAGCATATCAACATTTACCCTGGACCCATTTTGAGTTTTACAAAAGTGTGTTTTTTCAATATGGCGGCCAAAGTTTCACTTCCGGTTTGGATTTTTTTTTCTTCGTTTTTTTGTAATAGCATTTACTTATGATCAGCATAAATTTCGTTGACCTATTTCAATTACACCGTTAGTTATTCGACCGGAAGTGTATTGTACTTTCAATAGATTCCCCGTTTAAAACCGGAAGTAAAACTAAATATTTGACAACTACATATTATTTGCTTTAGTGATGCCCCTTTGCATATTAAATTTCAGATCAATGGATGCAAAAGCAAAAAAGTTGCAAAAAATTGAAAAATTTGATCGAAAAAAGTGAGCGACGAATTTTCGAATTTCGTAATTTTTTAAGTGCTATCAGGTCAGAAATTACAGGTAGATTGTAAAAATGAAAACCCGAAGAAAATCGATGCAAAAATACGCGTTCTAGAGCCGATTTTCGACTTTTTGCACATGTGGAACTGTGGCACTTCCGGTTTTGCAAATATGTTCCAATTTATATTTATATTTATATATGCACATCGTCACCTATATAGAAGGTCTATGAAATTTGAAACGTTGCTGCAACTACTGCAGTCTAAGCACAGGAAGGTGCGGACGAAACGAAAAAAAAAAAAAAAAAAAAAAAAAAAGAAGACATTTCGACATTTCGATAACAAACTGGGACTTTGCTGAAAGCAAATTATAAATAAAGTACCAACCATCATTTAAACCTGGTTGTGGTAATATCTGACCATTCAATGCCTCTATTAATGATACAGCTTCATAACCTGGTGGTACACCTTCTTGATTACATGTATTCTCTTCTCCATCACCCTGTTAATAACACAGTATTTAAAAGAATTTAGTCATATTGCCAGGAATTAACTACAGTCAGACAGAATAGCTACCTAATATTCTCAAGTCAAACTATTGATGAAGAAATATTAATAGTATATCTGAATGGGAAAGTAAGAATAGCTGAATTTCAGATATATTCTGTTAAGAAACGGAATAGAATCTAAACAAACTTAATAGCAAATCATAACACAAAATCTTCAACAATTTTTATACGCCCACATGAAATGGGGGGCGTATATTGTCATCACCCATGTCCGTCGGTCCGTCCGTCCGTCCGTCCACAATTGCTCGTAAACACTCTACAGGGCACAATTCTTGACAGATTTTAAAGAAACTTGGTATGTGTTTTCGCAATCACCCAAGGATAAACCCTATTGAAAATCAGCGAAATCGAAAAATATTTAGCATGAATTATTGCCCTTGTTAATTTTTAGCTCGTAAACACTCTAGAAGGCATAATTCTTGAAGGATTTTAACGAAACTTGGTATCAGTTTTCGTAATCACCCAAGGATAAACCCTATTGAAAATCAGCGAAATCGAAAAATATTTAGTATGAATTATTGCCCTTGTTTTTGCAAACACGTTCAATTTTTGCTCGTAAACACTCTAGAAGGCACAATTCTTGACAGATTTTGACGAAACTTGGTATAAGTGTTCGTTATCACCCAAGGATAGACCCTATTGAAAATCAGCGAAATCGAAAAATATTAAGTATGAATTATTGCCCTTGTTCTTGAAAACGCGTTCAATTTTTAGCTTGTAAACACTCTAGAAGGCATAATTCTTGAAGGATTTTAACGAAACTTGGTATGAGTGTTCGTAATCACCCAAGGATAAACCCTATTGAAAATCAGCGAAATCAAAAAATATTTAGTATGAATTATTGCCCTTGTTCTTGAAAACACGTTCAATTTTTAGCTCGTAATCACTCTACAGGGCACAATTCTTGATGGATTTTAACGAAACTTCGTATGAGTGTTTGTAATCACCTAAGGATAAACCCTATTGAAAATCAGCGAAATTGAAAAATATTTAGTATGAATTATTGCCCTTGTTCTTGCAAACAGTTCAATTTTTAGCTTGTAAACACTCTAGAAGGCATAATTCTTGAAGGATTTTAAGGAAACTTGGTATGAGTGTTCCTAATCACCCAAGGATAAACCCTATTGAAACCAGCGAAATCGAAAAATATTTAGTATGAATTATTGCCCTTGTTCTTGAAAACGCATTCAATTTTTAGCCCATAAACACTCTAGAAGGCACAATTCTTGAAGGATTTTAACGAAACTTGGTATGAGTATTCGTAATCACACAAGGATAAACCCTATTGAAAATCAGCGAAATCAAAAAATATTTAGTATGAATTATTGCCCTTGTCATTGAAAACGTGTTCAATTTTTAGCTCGTAAACACTCTAGAAGGCACAATTCTTGAAGGATTTTAACGGAACTTGTTATGAGTGTTCGTAATCACCCAAGAATAAACCCTATTGAAAATCAGCGAAATCAAAAAATATTTAGTATGAATTATTGCCCTTGTTCTTGAAAACACGTTCAATTTTTAGCTCGTAATCACTCTACAGGGCACAATTCTTGATGGATTTTAACGAAACTTCGTATGAGTGTTTGTAATCACCCAAGGGTAAACCCTATTGAAAATCAGCGAAATCGAATAATATTTAGTATGAATTATTGCCCTTGCTCTTGCAAACCGTTCAATTTTTAGCTCGTAAACACTCTAGAAGGCACAATTCTTGACAGATTTTGAAGAAACTTGGTATGAGTGTTCGTATTCACCCAAGGATAAACCCTATAGAAAAATCAGGGAAATCGAAAAATATGTAGTATGAATTATTGCCCTTGTTCTTGAAAACGCGTTCAATTTTTAGCTCGTAAACACTCTAGGAGGAACAATTCTTGACATACTCTACAAGTCACAATTTTTTTGTTCATAATCACAATTTACAATAGATGTCATTATTTCCTGAGAAACTATTTTGGTTAACAAATAAGAAAATTTAATTTAATCATTTAACATGTCCCTAACCAGCCACCATACATGTACAGCATCATAAGATACTATAACTAGACCAAGTGGAAAATCCAAGACAGATATCCAATCATAGCTTAGTCATGTGACATCCCAAGATGCAGCAGTTTATCTGATTTCATTTTATAAATGTCATTCAAGAGAAAAGGTTTGCTTAATCATTTCATTTTCACCAATTGTGCTGATACAAAAATGAAATTAAACATGGGTCATAGGGGAAAGGTTTTGTTTCTTGGAAGATTGAATTGAGTTGCTGGATAAGTAGGCTACTATAGGAAAAATATTTAGTATGAATTATTGCCCTTGTTCTTGCAAACCATTCAATTTTTAGCTCGTAAAAACTCCAATTCTTGACAGATTTTGACGAAACTTGATATGAGTGTTCGTTATCACCCAAGGATAAACCCTATAGAAAAATCAGGGAAATCGAAAAATATGTAGTATGAATTATTGCCTATATTTTTGAATATAATCTGCAAATACACAATTCTTGACAGACTTATTGAAATCACCCAAGGATAAATCTGATCAAAAATCTTGTAAAACACGTAATTTTTATTCTACAAAGCAGAAGTCTAAAACAAATTTGACAACTTGATGAAATTGATCACAATCAAAACTAAACCTTTTGAAATATAAAATACAAGTTATTGCCGTTATTCTTACAAATGTGTTTGATTTTTAACTTGTGATGGCACAGTTTGTGATGGATTTGGGTATAAGTTGAATAGTTCCTGGTGTCTATGTTTGCTATTTTCTAACAAATATTCAATTTCAAACAAAGCTATCAGTGGGCGTATATTACCTTGCCTGGCAAGCTATCTTAAATGTTAGAGGTTGAGAGGTGACAGCAACTAGAGTTATTGCACTGGCTCAAAGTTATGTGCCACTCAATCATGCCACTACTTGTTGTTACACTTGCTTACATATGCTCTTACATAGCACTGAAAGTTTTAACTGGATCTAATTATTATTTGTAAAGGGACAGGTGTGCCATTTTTTTGACCAACTTTAGTATTAGAAACAGGAATTTTTTAGCTTAGCCGATCAGTAATAGTGTTCACAGCTCACCGTCGAAATTTGAACCTTAAAATCCACGTGTGTCCAAAATTATCCTCATGTGCAAGTGAAAAAGACGAGTTGTCTTTTTATGAGACACTGCCATATGTATAGAAATTCCAAGTTTGAGATATTTTTGAAGGAATTATATGATTTTTGTAAATTTCTAGTACTATTTACATAAATTCCAAGATTCAAATCAACCCCCAAAAATGGTGCAACTGTTCTTTTATATTCAAGATCACAAAACATGTTCTTACCATCCCTGTACCTTTCTTTCTCATAGCTCGTATTTGTAACAAGGCTCTAAACTTAACTCGACATATAGGACACATACTAGCTTGATATCGCAAGGATTCTGCACAACCACTGCATAAACATAGATGTCTACATGGTAATATTAATGTATCTCTCATATCAGACATACATATCACACATTCAGCACCACTGTCTTCTAACTCATCATCTGGATCTTCCTGTTCATAGAAATACAAGACAGGTAAGATCAGAGATGATGATTTGGTTTTATTTACCAGCCATGTAAGATTAAAGATCAAACTTCTGTGACCAACCTTTTCAACAATTAATGTGAATGATATTCACATATGCATAATAAATTTATCAATCAGAAGGCGTTCTTTTGGCAAAGATTTAACTTGAAAATTGACAGAAATAAAAGGGTAAAAAGTGCTCTAATTCAAACTTGATCTTCACTTTATGCTCACCCACCTTTGATCTTTCTACATTCTTATTTTCGATACCATAAATTTCTTGTAATAAATAACATAAACCATCAACAAATTGTTTTTGTTTTAATGGTTTAATTGTGTAACCTCCTTCTGAATTTTGATCTATCACAGCAAATGTCATATGGGCATGACCAGCATGCTCTAAAATATCCAAAATATTTTATATATTTTGATATTTGTCATGTCAAACTTGATCTCTAAGGAAATGAGGATAGGCAAAGCTATTCATATGCTATGATTCACCAAAGTATTTTTTAGAATAGATAAATATCTATTTTTCCATCTCTCAGACAACAGAACATTCTCAACCTCCCACAATCTGCATCACAGACAAAAGGAATTTGAATCAGTAAAGATCTTCTATGGGGACTTTTAAAGGTATCATTTTCATTTACTCAAATGGTTTCAAGTTTTATTTGCACATATTAATTTTTACTCCTTTATTTGTGACTAATAGTCATATTACCTTCCTCTTCTACAATACATTGTATAACAACTGGTATAATTTCTTTATCAGGATTATACATCCACTACAATATAATATCATACTTGTACAATAAATATTATATTCTGACACTTTTATAACTTAATTATAAATCAATATACAGATAGTCACAATGATAACCACCATAATCTTCTATCTATCTTTTTATCTCAATTTATTTTCATTTTACAACAGTTATTTAAAATGGGTTGGTGCATTGATTTACATGGTATATTTTGAAATATCTATATAACAGTATATATATGCATAAGAATTTATAAAACAATAATTACTCTCTCTGGTGACATCACTAACAAAAGAAAGAAGGATTCTAAAACAATAAACATACCTCGTCAAGAGTAAATCTGTTTGGTCTTATAAAATGTGTTGGTTGACTAAATACTAGTCCTGTACCACGTTTACAATGAAATACATCAGATGTCATATTTGGGTCTTTAGGATGGTACCTAGATTACAGTATCACAAAGACAAAGAAACATGAAATTACATCTTTCACATGAAATAATATTATTTATTTATATCATACATTCTAACTTTTTACCAGCCAAAGAAAAACAAGTGATTGCACAATAGTTAAACAAACTGTCCCACTGAGTTGCCTTCTCCCTTAATCATTATAGTGCAGACTTTATCAATTTTGCTCATTTTACATCAAACATTAGGTTAATGATCAGCTGTAAGAAAAAAATCACTTACACAACCTGTCCATTAACAATTTCTTCTGTAGCAAAATACAATATTCTTATTGAGCACCTAGCATCTGCATCGTAAGTAAATTCTAGATTATAAAGTTGTGTTGTGTCTTCTTTGTCATGAAGTAGATTCTCAGCTGGATCATACCTACAAATTATAAAAACAATTAAAAACAACATCAACTTCATTCATAGCATTTTATAATACAGCTTGAGAACAATGATGCACTTGAAAACCTATGATTTTAATAAAGCTATCCCTCTAACAAATCCTAATCAATTAATCCTCAAAATGAATCATAAAGTAGCAGCCTCAATGAGATCTCACTGCATCAAAACTGACATTCCCTTAATGATCTCTAAAAGTCATATAACCAGCTATTCTCTAAAATGTAAAACTTCATATTTGATAGTGAAAATGAAATTATTGGAGACTAATTACTTACTTAACAAGTCGTAATGAATCCTTTCTGATGTTTACTAGACTTTTTAATGTTTTAATTGGTTCATTACCAGCTGGCACTGGATAAGGAAACTAAAAATAAAATTACATTGATTTAAAACTAAAAACATGTTATGATGCTACATGTTGGAAAGTGTAAACTTAAACTAAAATTAATAATGAAATACTAGAAATAACATATAGTCTATTTAAGATGTTAGATCTTTGCATCTGGAAAATTACCATGATACCTGTCATATTAATCTTCTACTTTGCCCTTCTACTAAACAGATTGGTAAAGATCGAGATGTAGACTTACTGGTATGGGTTTATTTCCCAAAAAATTCAAATCATCACATTCACCAAATAAATATTCACCAGGTTGAGGAGAGTCAAATCTTTCTCCTCCCATGACGAAATGATTTCCAAAATAATTTCCTGAAACCATAGAAAAAACTGACCTCTAATGCCTTCATTATTGGTAGACAAATTCATCTGTCCTCCAGCAAGTAACAAGTGTTCTATCATCTGTTCTTCAGCAAGTAACTTGATGCTTGATGCATATATTTAGTGAACTCACACTGACAGTTTCAGTGACAGAAAAAAATTAAAATCTGAGATTACTGTCAAAGAGTAATGGTGCCAGTGTTTATTAAGGGCATGTATTGATGAAAGCTGGTAGGGTAGTGGAATAAAGCTAAACAGGCAGTTAACCACAAACCTTCCAATTGCCTTAAAGGTGTGGATAATTCTCAGACTGATTGAGTACTGATTCTGAGTGTGAAACTAACGCGAATGACATTTATAACGGAATGTACGTTACCTGATTTTGGAGGATATCTGTAAGCGTTGTTGGAAGACAAATCTACAGATTCAACACCCGTATTTCTACGGGAAGTTAGAGCCCCACCCATCCTTAATTAAGTTTGTTTTGGCTTAGCGATACTAGTACCATAACACGGTAAAAATTATTGATTTCAATCCATTTTAACCTTTTGACAAGACATTGGCAGCCATTAAAACATCAACAAGAAGTAGTCTGACTTGTACGGATTGGTTAAGATTTATAGAGTCATTGATAGGAGATAACTCTAAAAAAACTAATGCACAAAGATATGAATAGGACCACAGTGAAGTCGTAGGTAGAAATATGTTTATCATGTCATCGGGAGTCTTGAAAACAGACCGGTAGCTACATTGCTGCGAAGACAAGCAATTATTCTGTTAGTCCATTGCACTATTCTTGTTGAATATTTCGATGATCTCGATAAG